ATAAATTTGCAATAATTATATCTATCGGAAAACTTTTAAATTAGATATACTCATTTAACCTCATTAAGAACAAGGAGAAGACGAGTAGATGGTCTCTCAGCCAACCTCTTTTTTCTTATATATTGTACATAGCCGTCTATAGCAAATTGAAAGAAGCCCCCCCCCCCCCCAAGGTTAGCCCCAATTTTCAATGCCTCTATTATGTACGTATATCTTTGCAAAACATCTGTGTACCCAAGCCCCCCCCCCCTCCCAGTACCGATGCCTATGCTTCACCCAAATGTATGTATTTACATAACCGGTATGACGTTGAAAACTTTCAATAAATTAGTAAAATGCATACAAACTGGAAAAAAAATAAGTACAGTAAAACATTTAAGAGAGAAAGAATTTTCAAAGTATGGAAAATCAAAATCGCTCACTTTCACAACCTGAAGTGACCGCATCACCGAAAAGTTATCAAAGGATTCAATTATTCATCATACCTAAGATTTGCAAGAATATTGACCAAGCCATACACATTTTTTCAAAGTGCGTTAATATGGTCGATATTAACGCACTTTGAAAAGAAAAATTATTTTTTCAAAGTGCGTTGAGTGTGTCCCAAATTTAACGCACTTTGAAAAAAAAAAATTTCAAAGTGCGTAATTTTTCAAAGTGCGTTGTAACAAAGCCTTAGTACCAAGCCTTAGTACCAACTGTTCAAAAGTTATTACCAAAGTTAATGTTTGGTATTTATTTGTAAACGTGGGTCAAACAAGGTCAAGGTCGAGATGTCAAATTGGGTGGTACCCAAAAAAAGGTCTTGTCACAAGGAATACACCTCTTGAAGATGAAAGCCATATCCCCACCCACTCAAAAGTTATGAACAAGGTTAAAATTTTTGCGGGCAAACAGACAGACAGCTAGACAGATGGACGGACGTACAGGGCAAAAACTATATACCTCTGAATCTTCGATTACGGGGACATAAAAATATGGAATCGAATCACATGTAAATAATTTTATTATTTTAATGCATAATTTCTATCTCTCTTAATGGCTGCATGAGATCCAACATTGCAGAAAAAATAGTACATTATGGTATGTCACGTTGACCTGCAAATAACCTTCCAAGTGAACATAAGAATTTGTTGTCCCCGCTTTCGCGAAATCGAGGGGACATAAATTCTCATTCATCTGTCCATCTGTCTATCTGTCAGTCTGTCATAAAAAACTTTAACCTTGGTCATATCGTTATTGAGAAGAGATAGGACTTTCACATTACATGTACATATGTGTATTACATGTAACAAGACCATTCTAAATGTACTATGGTTTTTTACCCTGTGGCCTCGACTTTGAAATTTGACCTACTTTTCAAAATATTTAAAAATTACTTTAAATTGAAATAAATCAACTTCTTTAATGATAACTTTGAATGACATATGATAGGGCGTTCATATTTGACACAATATGCCATAAATAATGGCATCTGACACCCATTCACAAAGTCACCGAAAGCGAGGTACCACAATTCCGTGATTTTGCTTGTTTTCTGCATTGCAAAAGAATAGAATAGAGAATTCAAAAATGATACAAATGGTTTTCGAAAGTTATCTGCTTCGGACTTCCATGCATGTATATTAGCCTGCATCAAAATGACCTATATCGAGTACATAGGATGCAGGTGAGCGACCTTGACCTTTTTTTGACCTTCATTTTTTCAAAAACTTAATATTTTTTCATTCATATAATAGAGATAGGTCTTTCTTAAGGGATCTTGTTTGGTGAATACTGGTACATGCAAATTTTATTTTCAGGTGGACAAATCATTGTATTGACCATAAATGTGATAATTGTTTCACGGTGTTTTGTTATGACTGTTTTGTACTTAAAAAGCAATGTGTTAATTAACTGTATAATTTGACACAAATACTTTTTCTATGTTTGACACAATATACCAATAATATTGACACTTAATCTTTCATTAAAACTCAACTTTTTATGTACATACCGCTTAAGAAGTGTCATCTTTTACTCAACATATACATTGTAGTAGCTGTTCTAGCTGTTTGATAATTGATTTTCTGGCACTTTCTTCTTAAGGCCACACCAATTTAATTTCTTTGTTGTCTATATGGACATTTCACAAAAAAAGTAAACATGGGCTAGCGGTTAAATAGTAATATTATTACTTTTTGTAGGCAAAAATTTTAGGCGGAGCGTGATAAAAATTGAGCAGACAAAAATTATTGTATTTTTTCTGATTTGCAGAGTAAAAAGAATAAAAGTACGATTAATAGAGCGGAAATAGAAAAAAAAAAAAAAAAAAAAAAAAAAAACACAAAATTCCCATGGTGCGGGGATTTTGAATTAATATTATTTGTATAGTTTTGTTTAAATACGAGCGCGCGGGTCAGACAAACAAAATTTTTTTATTGGTGTGGCCTAATCCTTTTATTTTGTTCCATCTTTGTTTAGTATGTATGTTTTGTTGTTTAAAACTAGAGCTTGTTGTATGTTTTACAGATGTAAAATATAAAAAGTATATTCCGTACTAATTCTCTATAGAAGTTCTACATGTAAAACTATTACATGCGTTGAGGTTTTATGATGAATCTGTTTTAAACAATAAGAGCAAAAAATCAGGGTTACACGCGTTTAATCCCAGAGAAATAAATTGATTAATTCCGTAATAATTTTTAACGTTATATGCATGAAGATAGGTCTGACTGTCCGTTTATTAACTTAATCAATGCATACTTTGACGTGCCGAGCCAAGCAACAAATCCTATTTTCAAATTGTTCACCAAATTTTTTAATGTAACACAACATAATAGGATGATTTCTCATTAACCTACATATTTGCAGCTGTAGCATAACGTTCACTCCTTGAAGTCCTTCAGACAAACCAAAGCTGTGCGAAATATCTACGTAAACCTGTTGATATACAGACACAAACCCCATTCTGTTTTTCTTAAAAGAAATACATTTCAGAATATTAATGTTTTTTTTAAATTTAAAAAAAATCAGTCTATTTCTTTCAAAAAATGGTAATTGTCATATAATAATTGAAAGGTTTAAACTGTTAATAAAATAATAAATGGGGTAACATTTTCTACTCATTTACACCACAGAGATTTTTTTTAATGTTGAAAAAACTAACAAAGTCAGGGATAATGTTTTGTCAATAGAAAAAAAGTAAAACCTAGACGAGACAGTCCTGCTTTGATAATAAAATATAACTTGATTAGTCATTCGTCAAAGACATTTGATAATAACTCTATATTCAAGAAGAAGAAAAAAAATATTTTTTTGACTTTGACAAAGTACTTAAATCCCAATTTTCTTGCCAATACAAACCACACTATAGTTTACAAATAAAGCAACGCCTTTTATTGTGTTTCGAATATATACATACATAATATATAACGGAATTCAAATACCAAGGTTTAAAAAGTGCACCCTTTAACATCAACACACACATTCCATTGCTTATGTATTCCACAATCGATACCAATCAATGACAAAAACTCCATAAAATAAAAATTAAATAAATAATAAATAGACGAATAAAAATAATTAGAAAAAATACATAAATAAAATGAGCAAATAAAAATAAAATATAAAATAAATAGATAAAAATATAAAATGAAAATAAATAAATAATAATAAAAATGCTAAATAAAAACAATTAATAAGGATTTTACTTTTTTAAATCCCTGACTGGAAGAATAGCCTTAACATGTATGACCACTGAATAAAATTCGGCTAAACTAATTATTAGTTTTAATGATTGATTTCCTTTATATCATTTTTCTTTCTTAATTCTCTTCTTTTTGGTTGTTCATTCTTTCTGGCTCTTTAAAAAAATACAGTTTTCAGAATTTTCAATTTAGGCTAACGTTCGGCTCAATGCAAAACACCAAATCAATTTTCATCGTGACAAATGCGGGAAAAAAAATATACGTTACAAATTAAATTCATCACGATTTGCCATGTGCCCTTTTCATTTCAAACTCTCCAATCGCCCAGACGGCACCATACTTTTATACTATATACCATTAAGCAAACATTACTTAAAAATTATTATTGTTCTGGTAGATATATATGTAGTTGGATCATTTAGAATTTTAAATTTGAAACTTCAAATAAAGTAAGATATTATTAGTCAAGACTTTTGCACAATTAATGAATAGACATATTATTGATATTTTTAAAAAAGCAGAACAATCAATATTTTATTAAATTTTTTCGTAGGAGATACATGTACATATAATTTCAATAGAAATTGTACGTCATTTAAAGATAAAACATAACAAAGTTTTGAATACAATTTTTTATATTTTACTGTATTTATTTTACATTTTTTGAGATAAATAAGTTCATGATATAGAAAATTCTAAATAATATTTATGCACATAATTTAAAGTTATATATTTATATTTATGTATATAATTTAAATGATTATATTTACGTAAGTGAATTGAAGTGTGTCTACAATGTAGTAAATAACTTTAATAATATTTCCTTTGTAAGATTTTTGGAATTCTTATTTACATTAAGAATGCAATAAAATGCCATAATTTCTTATTTCAAATGTATAATACAGCTTGATCTTTATACTATTAATTCTATTGTAAAAAAAAATCTTCGCCTACATTTATCCGCAAAATTCGGTATCTGTATATGGTTTTAAAAAATCATCTTCTTTTATTGTGCATTTCGGTCATAGAAAATTTTTAAATAAATAAGACACAATATAAAAAAAAAAATTGAAAAATTATGTTAAAATAATGTATTGGAAACGCTCCTATTTGTACAATCTTATTAAATCGTGATTTCTTTTAAATATTACTAGACAATTTTTCAATCGCTTTAAATACCGTTTTCAAATAGTAATAAATTTAAAAAAAATGACAATGAAAACGAAGTCAATGAACTATACAAATACCTTAATGTTATAATAAACAAACTCCTTAACTTATTAGGTGAACTTTAAAAACTGTTAGACATTGGAGTCAATAGTAAATCCCCTGGCTCAGAGACTGCACACGGTCTTCATTCTCATCTGAAAAGTGTCTGTATTTAGAAAATACTTGAGAAGTTGAGTCTAAATTTGGAATAAAATTCAAATGTGGCTTCGAAAGACAGATAAGTTTCTATAAAAGGAATATTTTAGCCATCTTATCATCGATCATTGATAAATATATTTCAAATAAGACAAACACGGCCCTTCAAATTCCAAATCTAGGACCACTGATATATTTTGTATTGGTTAACTCCGCCTCTTGGGCATGCGCAGTACGTGGGAAAAACAGCCCAATTTTATGAATAAAAAATGATACTATGTGTTCGGTGGTTTAAATCGCATGAGTACTTTCTGAAGGTAACAGATTCAAAGCAATAAGTACGAGACGGATATTTCTTATTGTTTATGACAACATGATACTTTTCATTTTAACTGGAGTTATTCTTGCCCTGTCACTTTTCAAGTAAGTGTACATGTATATAACTACTAGCGTTATATCATAAAATAAAGTTCTTTCAGTGCAGTAACAATTCAATGTGCTTCAAACTCATTGTAATACATGTTTGATTTATATCTGAGACAGCTGACTCATGTTAATTAACAGCGTGATTTAAGAAACTAATTATTACTTTCAGATATTTTGTCTATCATTTTCAAACATTTGAGAGGCTCGGAATCCCTGGACCAAAACCGACTCTTTTCCTCGGCAACCTCCCAGAAATTCTGAAAAAGGTACTGCTTAATGTTAATAATTACTACTTTATTAATTTGAAATATATTTAAAACAGATGTTATTATAATGCTTAAACAACTTTCTTTTGCTGTTTACTTTTTTCTTTGCCTTTATTAGTCAATAATGCTTCAAACGTGGGTTGCTTGCCATATTTTCCTGCAAATAAATGTACGAACATCTTTTATTCCAAAATTTCTTTTAAAATTACGATTGTTGATAATTTTATTTGTGTTGCGATTGTAGGGACAGTTACAGGCTATCATTGACTGGAGAAAAGAGTATGGGCGAGTGTTTGGGTAGGTACACTTGATCTTCATAGTGTTTAGTATTTTGTGCCTTGATACAATAAAAAAAATATGCAAACATGATTAATAAAAACATGTAAATAAAACTAATGATGAATGGTTTCACTTCTTTTGCAGATACTTTGAAGGCTACACCCCAGTTATTTCTGTAAGCGACCCAGAGCTGCTCAAGGAAGTTTTGGTAAAGGACTTCGAGAACTTCCAATCAAGAAAGGTACATACCAGCCAGACATACAAGTGACAGAAACAATTAAAATCTAATTTAGATCTGCATTATTTTAAAAAAAATGGTTCTAACCTTGAAAATCTTTTTTCTGTTTGCAGCCTTTTCCGTTGGCTCCTCGCAAAAGCTTAGGATTGTTCTTGGAGAATGGACACCAATGGAAGCGAAGCAGGACTTTATTGACCCCTGCCTTCAGTGCTGGGAAACTGAAACAGATGTTCGGAATCATGAATGAATGTACTGACCACTTCCTGGAGAACATGGAGAAAAAAGCCAAGACTTCCAAAAAACTTGACATATATGAGTAAGTGTTTAATACTATCAATCCTCAATTGCTCACCAGGGAAAATTTAACCTTTGAAATATAATAAGCAATATGTAATTTCATTTAATTCTCTTTTCCAGCCTTTACCAGTGCCTGACTTTGGATGTCATCGGTCGATGTGCTTTTGGATTACGTACAAACGCCCAGGTTGATGAGGAAGATCCTTTCTTGACCAATGTTAGAAGTCTATTCAACCGACTCAGCAAAACCATGATTCTTCCAGCAGTCAGTAAGTCTGCATTTATGGGTTACCAAGTGATTTTCTTGTCATGATACATGTATCTATTTTCAAAAATTGTATTAAAGGATCCAGACTTCATTAAATTTCTTTCGTTTTCAGTGCTGATTCCTTTTCTCCAGTACTTTGTTTTTGCTCTTAAGAACATCGTAGTCCTATTTGGGATGAACCCAGTAGTATGGATTAGGCTGAAGATGAAGGAGATTATTGAAATTAGGAAGGAAATGGGGGTAAGCGTCAATTAGCTAAATAAAAGTAAAAAATAATAACAAACAAATAAACATACTTAGTATTTAAAAAAAAAACATTCATTGAAAATTACTTACACCCATGTACATAATTAATTATATAACAGTGCATTATGATTTCTTTTAAAGGCAAATGCAAGTACCTTTGACTTGGTTCAGCAAATGCTCTTCTCGAAAGTCAAGGATGGAAGTAGTGCTTTCAGTGAGAGGGAGATTGTGGCACAGAGTATGACCTTCCTTTTGGCGGGATACGAAACCACCAGTACAGTTTTAGCATTCCTGAGTCACGTGCTGGCCCACAACCCACACAGTCAAAAGAAGTTGGCAGAAGAAATTGACTCCATTATTGGAGAGGTAAGGGAGTATCCAACAAAGGGAATTATTTTAGATCCTAAAACAAAAATACTGACTTTTGGGAAGAGTGTGTAGAAGAAAAATTATTTTTTTCCTTTTTTTCCAGAATGAAGTCAGTTATGAAAACGTGAAAGAACTACCTTATTTCGACATGGTCTTTGACGAAGTTTGCAGACTCTATCCAACAGCATCATTGTAAGAATCTTGGAATGTTTTTTCTTAACTTTAAAATTTTCAGATATTTTGATTTCGATTTCAAATCTAAAAAAAGAAATAATATCATTAACAAAGCATTTGCCTTTCATATTTTTAGAATTGTGACGAGACAAGCCAAAGAAACAGCTACCTATAATGGGATTACTATTCCTGCTGGAATGAATGTACAAGCTGATGTTTGGGGTCTCCATCATGACAAGGAATTCTGGGATCAACCCTCTGTTTTCAACCCTGAGAGGTAAGGAAATGCGATATGGATTATTTTTTTCTTGAAAAGGAAAACAACTCACAATGTTTTTGAGACCTCAAAATATCAAACAGAGTTTTCAATTTTATCATCTTGTCTGTGTATTCTTATTTTAGATTCACAAAAGAAAATAAACAACATATCAAACCATACTCCTTTTTGCCATTTGGTGCTGGTCCAAGAAGCTGTATTGGTTCACGATTTGCCATGCTGGAAACAAAGATCGCAATGGTCCGAATTCTGAAGCAGTTCTCATTCAAACCTTGTGATGCATCTAAAGCAATAGAACTGGAATGTAGAGGTGCAATTGTCCCTAAGAATGGCATTGATGTTCTGGTTGAAAGCAGAAAATGGTCGGGTAAACTATGTCGTTACAGTTGAAGGAAGTTATAAAAACTAATGAGAACAACAGAGACACCCCTTTCTCTGTGAGTGCGGAATTCTTCGTAACAAACGAAAATTTTGCATCAGTTGTCCGAAACTTCCAAACAGTGTGGATAACAACGCACCATTTCGCCATTTGTTCCGAGGACCTTTCAGTGCAAAGGTGAAAAGCTGAACTGTGATATAAAGAATATGACAAACAATACAACATATCCATGGAAAGTGAAATTACTATAACGTGAATAAAGATTCCTGAAAGTGAAAGACGAGAGAGGATACACATAATATAGTTTCCTGTGCACTTTCCTTTTATAAACTGTGAAATAAGTTACTGTGATATATTGTTGAATATTACTTGTTAAGTTTAAATTATGACATGGTTGTATAATAAAGGTAATGAAAATTGATAGAAGTTTAAGTGTGCTTATATATGAGTTGTAGTGATGTATCAACAAGTGACGGAGTAAAGGCAAAACCAATTCATCTAGTCATGTATTTATGACACGGTTATCCAGGAATCTAACAAATGTAAAATGTTAAAACTTTTTCAGAATATCTAAAATTTTTGAAACAAAAACCTTCATATAATGCACCATCATGTGCAAAATAATCGTGCACATTATATTGTTGGATAGGCTGCAACAAATACCAAACATGTTTGAAGTGCAGTCGATCTTTTGACAACGTTAAATATAAACATGTACTGCATGCACGTGTTGAGTGAAGAGGGTAATTAATAATTATACTTCCTTGTCAAATATTACGTGTAGTTACATCAGTTATCAATTCTATTGTAACATTCAGTTTATGTGTAATGACTGTGCCTTATAGAGAGAAAAAAAGGATTGAATTACCCGATTTTGAATAAAATTTAATAAAATATTTTTCAATAGAGAGACAAAATAATAACTGTAAAAACTGAAAAATATTTAACTTTTGCCAAACTAACTTAAATACCTTATATTCTGTTACAGGTTAAAAAATCATAGAATTTATCAAAAAGTTGAATTTTTTGTTACAATTCAATTTAATTCAATTTATTCACTCAAAACCATGTAAATGGTACATGAGGTACAAATTCATATAAAACATATATACATATAATACAGTTGTATTACATTGTACAGTAATATGTTGAATCAGAAGGCAATGGAAAGTTGTAAAATAAAATATAGTATTGCAATTATAAGGAATGATTAATCAATTTATCGTTTTTTTACTGTTTAATGCCGAGTGGGCAATATTTCGGATTTTACGTTTTGTGGCCGTTTCTGAAGGTTTTGGATTTCTGTAGCATTAGCATTCCTCAATGAGCATCATTTTCTTAAAATCTAAAAACGGAGGAACGATCTTGTGCTTGCTAGGAGGATTGTAATCCTTAACAAATGGCACCATTTAAAAATCTGTCCTTAAGTTTTGTTTGTATGAAACAAAAGTTTTGCACCTTGTTGAATGATGTTAAACTGTACTAGTTTTAAGAATGGCATTCATTAAGAAAATAATTTGGAATTGATAATAATTTCCATACTGTTTCATAATAATGCCAAATGGATAAAACGTAAGTGTTACCTGTACATTTTTTAATAAAATGATTCAGCGAAGCAGAAGAGATTATTGACATCGGTGACAATTTCTGAATATTATTTGGTCACGAGGTTGGAACGCTGGAACGATAGAAATCAACTTATGTTCTTTCGACTCGATTAAAACTGCATTTTTTGCTAAAAAAGACAAATGAAATCAAAGCATTTTAAAAACCTTTAATCAGATTTGGACGAGTGACACGTGTTTGTCCATAGAGACACTGGTAACAGAACTAGAGCAAGGTTCGAAGTGGACAATCATAAGTCCTAACACATGTTATGTGAAATTACTCCCTTGGACATAATCTAAACATTAAATGCCCATTCCACAAGAATGTTTCACTATAACAAGGTCAGTGTAAAAGGAACTTTGATCTTAAGGAAGATTTTCTAATAACTGGTTCAAGGTTAAGTTTAGACGTCTTTAAATGACTAAGCATAAAAAGACATGACGATGCAAACTCTTTATAAACTTTAAAGATATGCGGTTAATCCGCGGTATAGTTTTTATGAGTTAAAATCAATTTCTTCTTTTCTTTTAACCTTAGATAAATAAAAGAAAGAGTACAAGGGGTCATTGATTCTTGAAAAATCTTGTAAAATTACGTGGTCCAGAATTCTGAATGAAGGGTCTGAGAACTCTTTAAACACTTTATTGCATGTGTAATTTAAAAACCTTTTACTGTGTTTTTACAATATTTGGCCCTAATTTTTATGTACATGTATACATTTATATATTTAAAAAAATGTCAGAAAGCCTACTGTTGATAAAACTGAATGGAATATTGTATATTTTCCTTTTTTCTAATTCATATTTTGAGGAAAATTTTTACAAATTTTCAACACCTATTATTTAAAAAATGCCTTTTTTGAAAACTTTTTTTGCCCCGATTTTTTCCTATATAAAAATAACAAAAAGCCTGTATTAATAATGAAAATCCATTAATCACGCTATTAATTTGACTTGAATTGCGATTTTTGAAATAATTTATTATTAAAAAGTTAGAATTCTCTACTTATCTCTGCAATTTAAGACTAGGCAAAGTTGAAGCAACCCTCTGTAGTTTTGAGGTTACTTTAAAGGATTGATGACCCAATTTCCCGAAGTGGAAATGTTTTATCTATATTTACCCTCCAGACTATTTCGGGGGGAGCGATTTCCTGAAGTGGACTCCTCACCAGGGACACTGACCTTCCACCCGGTGTATGATGCATCTACAATCAAATCATAATGTTGAATTTGAATGAATTACACGTCATAATTTACATGTACAATCTTATAACGTTGAATTTGAATGAATTACATGTAATAATTATCGAACTGTAAAATTTTCATGATTTTTCTTTCAAATCATATTTTTGAATAGTTATGTATATTTTTGAAATAATTTTGATATGCACAGCTTAAAGGCAATGAAAAAAATTAATATAAAATCATTTTTAAAAAAATATACAGATAATTATCCAAGTATCGATATGATTGTTATACATTAGTCATATTTTAAAAGTATTGTAAATTCTTATCAATTTTGGAATGGAAAATAGTGAATGCAATACTTTTGTAAGAAGAAAAAGGGAAATTTTTCAACCACTCCAAGATCGTATTTTCAGATTGTATACAAGCTACACAATGACAAATAAAATGTTAATATATATTTCATATCTATAATTTACATAAGTTTCGAAAAAGTAAGGTACTCAAAATTTCAAAGTGAAATAATTTTGTTTATTTCTGACTATATGACTAAGTTCATAACATAGTTCTTATTAAATTATTTCTTTTGAGTCCTTAATTTGGAGAATTTTTCACTCAAATTGAAACGCCACCACTTCTAGGTTGAAGGTTGCAAATCAAGACCTGTACTCTGCACTAACGGCCTTTGAGCAGTGATCGAAGGACATTTTTCATCCCAGCGCCTACTTTGACATGGGATCTCCGTTTATTCAATCTCATCTGAAGGACCGGTCTCCATATCCGATAGTGGGATTCAAACCCGCGACGTACAACTTGACTCTTGGGCAAATGTTTTCACCATTGCACATTGTCGGTGAATCAGAACATATTGATTGAATATTAACAGCGATTTTCTCTTGAATTTTTCATTTATTTGGGAATGTACACTGCGAAATGCTCGAAACCAGCATGTTTTTAAATAAATGAATATTTAATTCGAAAAAAAAATGATTTAAAAAAATATATACAGGCTAAAACTAGCAATTAAAAATATTATTTTTATTAAAACTTTAAATATTAAAAGAAATACAAATAAACCCCCCCAAAAAAAAACTTTCACTAAAATACCGAAGTTATGACTAACTTTGTCGAAACTTATGATGAATGAGCGCCATACTAACCACACGCAGACTTCGATAAAAATGATTACTTTTTGTTTTTATAAAAGATACTTCGTCTATCTTGTTGATAAAATTAGAAAAAAGATTTCCAAAGTCTTGTGGATGAAAATTAACAAAATTTGAAATGTTTTATCCATCTCTGTTCTAAATGAAGAAGTATTTTAACTTATAAAAAATTAAAAGGAAGAAATCTTCAGCTACTATGCTTATATTATCTCAGATTCGTATTAAATCTTAAAAAAAAGACTAAAAATTGCCTCTTTAGAAACCTTGACGCCAAGACTAAGTAGTTACTTAATTCAGAACATGACGTTAGCACTATAGTGTGAACTGCTTGTGCCCCCGAACTCTTGCCATATAAGCTTATGACGTAACGTAGAATCATATTAATTTATTGTCATTAAAACATATATTAATTATATTTAGAACACAGCACTAAGTAACAAAAATCGTTAATTTTATCATTTATTATATACTTTGTAATCTTCAATTAAAATATTTGCAGTGGCGGATCCAGAAATTTTGAAAAGGGGGGGATCGACCAGTTTTAGGTCAGGGTAGGGGCCCACAACCAAATATCATATCAAATATTCAGATATTTATCAAATATTGTGTAATTTTTTTGGACACAAGGGGGGCCCTCTAAACCCCCCAGTGATTTGTAGTATATCTATTATGTAATTGATACAACTGGAAAACAACGTAGCAAAAAAAAAAGTAGTTAGATTTAAAAATATATTTTGATAAGATTTACAGTAAAATATTTTTACTTTTATTCGTATTTTTTTTTTACATTCTTGCAATATGACATTCGCTTGGATAAAGATAGAAAGATGTTTACTCTACATGTATTAGAAAATTTATAACGTTTTAGTTTATTTTCATCTTATTTTTTCACAATAAAAACTGTGGGTAGTTTAAAAACTGAAAGCAATAAGATGTGTTTGTGAAACATTGATACTACCGTATGACAGCTTAAGGCGAAGGTGAAAGTGCGTTTCTCAAATGCAAGACAAATTTAAAGATCGAGATTTAAAAATATTGTTACCCACTGAAAGGTTTTGTGTCAGTGGATATACCTGGTAAATATAAAAGTTCAATCACCAGCCTTTCAAAATTTATGGTCAGCGATAATGCTTTGTAAAAGTGAATCAAATTCCAGGATCAATGTTAAAGGGTAAAAATAAATTGTACACAAGGGAAGACAGATGTGAAATATGAAAGCCAATCTTTCAAAAGTATGGGCAGTGTTAAAGATGTTGCAGTCGGACAGACAAACATACAGACAGATAGAAAGTCAGGCAGACAGCTAGACAGGCTGACGGACAGGCAAAAACTATAGATTCCCGAACCTTTCATTACGAGGGCATAAAAATAGAAAATATTGGATATTTGTCACTAAATGCAAGACTTCCGACAAAAATATATTACGAAAAAAAAATTATCTTTGAGTTTATCGATTTCTGCATATCACGTCGATTCTTGAATTATTGCCTTCAACGAAACTAAAAATAGGGAAACACATGACCTAATGTACGAAAGCCCAGAAGGCTCATTCGAGATTCGAGTTTCCAAATACGAGATTCGAAATTCGAGATTCAAAATTCGAAATTCGAGATTCAA